TTCGGCGCGGCTTGGGCCCAAGGTGAGCGTTGTCCCAGGGCCTTCCATGTGCAGTGTATCGAAAGGCGGAAGACTCGCCCGGGCTAGGCAGTGGGGTTGAATGAAATGCATTTCTTTTGGGTTCATGTTGGGGGTTTGCGCTCGATTTGTGTGCTTGTTCAGCCGGAAATTCTTCGGAAGGCGTTGCCCAAGGTATCCATTTGCTTCTGTTGGACCTCCTAAAAAGTTTAGAGATTTTAGCGCGCATGCAAAAAAGACAAAGCGCATGGCCGAGCAGTGCTTCCGAAAATGTCTTCCAAATCTAGGGACCTGGCTGAACACATGGCTGAAAAGCAATGCTTCGCCCTCTAAAAACCGCCTCCTCCGTTAGGACAGCCGAGGTCGGTGGATTGATTCTTGGGGTCGAACTGTTCATTAATATATGAGGGTCCGTTGGGTACCGGAGTGATTCTATACCACGGAACAAGTGCCACGCTACTAGGAACAAGTGCCTTACTAGTAGTAACAAGAAGCTAGTAGAAACAATAAGCTACTAGGAACAAGTGCCACGCTACTAGGAACAAGTGCCTTACTAGTAGTAACAAGAAGCTAGTAGAAACAATAAGCTACTAGGAACAAGTGCCACGCTACTAGGCTCCCAAGAAAACATGTGTGCGTCTTCGAAGGCTGGTGGACTTCGAATCGGTGAAGCCAGCAGAAAGCTGGTGCTGCCCTGTTTGCCGGGCCCTCGTGTGTTTCGGCGGAGGGTGTGGATGGGGCCAATGGGGAAGGTTTGGGTTCTAGTGATTCTAGTGGCCTGGAAGATGATGAAATTTGAAAAGAAACAAGCGGTTTAGACTTGAGATGTTGCTTTCCCAGTTTCAGTTCTTCTTGGTGGCTTTGTAGGATCAATTCCGTCGACTCTGGACGTCGATCAGACCGGGACATGGTGTTATTTAGGGGGCTTTAGGAGCATCCTCGCTACTAGTAACTTCTTGTTACTAGTAGTAATGGCCTCCAACCTACTAGCCTCTTGTTACTCTTGTTACTAGGTGGACCACGCTGCGGAAAATGAGGAGCATGACATCTCACAGTTTTGTTCTGTTGAGGGTCTTTCAATGGTTTTCCCACCTAGGTTTTCACAGGAACATGCTGTTTCTATTCGTTTTTTCCGCGAAAAGAGCTTGAACCGATGTATCACTGGAAAATCGACGGGTCGAGACATTAATACCAGTTCGCCTTGAGTTGCTCGCAGTTTGCTGCAGTTCTTCGTAAAGAAACCGATGGGTTTCCACGAAACCATGTTCGCTGTGAACCGCCATCGAAGTGGCGGATCTACCAGGATCCATACCGTGAGTTGGAGACTCTGGTTCCTCTCACAACCTGTGAGTCATTGAAGTTGGACACTTCCTTTTTGAGCCGCACCGCACCGCGCCGAACGGTCCATGCGAAAAGGCCCCAAACGGGAGAGGGGCGAATCCTGATCCTGAGGGGCTTGTGAACCCTGAGGTTTGTATGGCGAGAGCATCTTGCGGGGCAAAGGTGTGGAGCAGATGCCTGAAGAGGAGATGAGGGTACAGCACCCAGCTGAACTGTCGCTAACGAGAGATCATGGGGTCCTTGGAAAGACGGGTCAAAAGGAAAGGACGGGTCAACCTGTGGGCCTAGGGTTTGACCATATGTTGACATCCCTCAATCTGGAAGACTCATATTAGTTGCGGCCTGCTAGTTGCCTGTGAGGGCTTCAGTGGCACCACTGGCCCTTGAAACACATTGTCCTGCACATCAGATTGGGAGTGGCAAAACCAGGATCACCAAGCTACTACCAAGGGGTCGTCAGAAGTTTGGCTAAAACATGCGGAAACCGTTCGAGAACGAGAGGGCCTTCGAATGCGCTGTCTTCGTTTTCGTACGAGCAGGGTTCGGCCGACTCTCACATGCTCCCCAGACATGATCTTCCAGAGACCGTCTTAGCCAAGCTAAGTCAAGGGACCGCACTTGGGTTTGGCCAAGAAACATGAAGGTTTCGGAGGGTCCCCCAAATAGGTCGGCTCAGACTGCACTGTGGAGCATGGAAGAGTTGCATTATTTTTTTGGATGAATAGTAGAACACCATTTATTGAAGCACCTGAAATCCTGGTGTTTTTGTCTTTTCCCGAATGCGTAGCAAAGGGTTGTCGTTCAACTCTGGGGGTCTGGGGGTAGAGTCTTGTTCGAGACTAGTTGTCGTAGCGTTCGCAACCGTCCGCAACCGTTCGCAGTGTTGCGCTATGGAACTCACATTTGGGCCAAGCTTTTGGAGAGGGTTTTGGATGGAAGCATGACGTGTCAGATTCGTGTGAAATAGCGAGGAAACGTGTGCAAACGTGAGAGGATGAAGTGTGGAGGATGACTTCACTGCGCAGGTGCAGCGTTTTGTGATATCCGCTATTTTCTTCGCAGTCAGATTGGGATTGGCCTTTAGAGGGTGGTGATTTTTTGGGGTGTTGGATATTGGGATTTGTGTTTCAGGCTGTTGCTTCGAAGCTGTGTTTTCGTGACAAGTCCTTGAGCTATAATAGCAATTGTGGTGGGTGGAGCGTGCTGAGAACGTGTCGGAATCATTCCAAACGTGTGGTGTGGTGCAAACTGCTGAAGCTACGAAGATACGATATTATTTTCACTTTCGTGGCAGGCGCAGTATTTTGTGCGGGTTTTGAGGTGTAAGTGAAATTTTCGTGGCAGGTGCAAGTTGCGAGGTGTGGCAGAGGTCACATTTCGTGGCGTGCGCAATACTTTCTGCATGTTGGAGGTGTGGACGTGCAAATTTTCGTGGCAGGTGCAGGGAATCGTGAGGTTGCGAGTTGTGGTGGAGGTGAATGTCGCTGTGACATTGGGATTGGTGTGTGTGTGCGTGCGGGTGGTGTTTGGAGGGGCTGGAATCGTGAAACTGCTTGGCAGGGCTGCTTGATGTGTGTGGTCCGATGGGCTTCCCGCTGGACTTTTGGAGGATGTCTCGTACGATATGCTCGTTTTGGAGACTTAACTTGTACGAAACGCTCGTTTTGGAGACTTGACGCGTGAATTTTTTGACGAGTGAATTTTGGAAGAAGACTCCCCCACAAGAGTTTCCCACAAGAGTGTCCTACATACAGTACAAGAATGTCCCACTCAAGAGTGTCCTATAGAAGTGCCCCACAAGAGTTTCCCACAACAGTGTCTTGCAAGAGTGTTCCACAAGAGTGTCCCACAAGAGTCTGCAAGAGTGTTCGACAAGAGTGCCCTACGAGAGTGCCCCACACGAGTGTTCCACAAGAGAGTCCTACAAGAGTGCGCCACAAAAGCGTCCTACGAGAGTGTCCCACAAGAGTGTCCAACAAGAGTTTTCCACAAGAGTGTCCCGAAAGAGTGTCCCACAACAGTGACAGAAGAGTGTCCAGCAAGAGTGTCCTACAAGAGTGACATACAAGAGTGTCGGACAAGAGTGCCCCGCAAGAGTGTTCCACAAGAGTCTCCGACAAGAGTGCCCTACCAGAGTGTCCTACAAGGGTGTCCCACAGGAGTGTCCTACAAGCGTGTTCCGCAAGAGTGTCCTATAGAAGTGTCCTACAAGAGTTTCCCACAACAGTGTCTCACAAGAGTGTCATACAAGAGTGTCCCGCAAGTGTGCACCACAAGAGTGTCCCACAAGAGTGTCCTCAGAAGTGGCAACTTGTAGCGCAAATGTAATGTGGGTGGCAGTTGGGGCTTGATAGTACAGATGTAGTACGGGAAGCGGCTTTTGGTCCTTTGCGCCTTTTGTAGTACATGTGATGCGGGAAGCAGGTTGTGGGAGCTGTGGCCTCAGAACTGGCCACTTGGTAGTACACATGTAGTGGGGCAAGCAGCTTCTGGGAGCTGTAGAGTTTGAATCTTTGTAGTACCGAATGTAGTGCGGGAAGCAACTTCTGGGAGCTGTGGCCTCAGAACTGTCAACTTATGTGGCCAAATGACAGCTGAGGATGTGAGTGTCGTACTTGAGTGTTTCAAGAGTGTCCCGCAAGAGAGTTGCACAAGAGTCCACAAAAGTGTCTTACAAGAGTGTCCTCCAACAGTGTCCCACGAAGTGACGGAAGTGTCGCACGAGAGTGTCCCACAAGAGCGTTCTACAAGAGTGTCTCTTACAAGAGTGTAAAAAAATGTTTGGGCGCGTGTTTTCGAGTACGTGTTCGCATTCGGGATCGTGGGTTCCATCTTGTTTCCTGCGACCTCAAGAAGGCCATGCGCCTGCGGGGAGGGGAGTCGCAGTGCGGGGCGGCAGGAACCGTAGTGTTTCATGGACCTAGCTCAGGCGCAAGCCCGAACTTAGATGGAGACTTGACTACTCATCCATTCGTTGTATTTTTGGGCTCGACGCAGGCATTGGGGGAGCAAGTAGTCAAGATTTTGCCTGCTCGGTCGTAGTAGTCTGGCCCTTTGAGGTCGTGAAATGAAGGACCACGTGTCAGCACAGTCGTTGCGGGCACCGTACCGTTCATCCCCTCACCCGACGGCCTTTGGGCTCGAAGTAGGTGGAGGAAGAGATGGTGCATAGTAGGTGGAGACGCAAGAGACATGATTTCAGGCCAGAGATTCGGGAAGGGTGAGCTAACATATATATATATATAATAAATATATATATATATAAATTATATTATATATTATATATTATATATTATATATTATATATGATATTTATATATTATATATTATATATCATATATCTAAATCTAATGATTTCATCATGTCATATGCTAGCAAACATGCTAGCAGGGTAGGTAGCGAGATATGACGAGCGGTTTTTTGTTGACCCACCCGGCGCACCGGACCGGAGGAAGGACGGCGTTCCGCACGACGGCCGAGACATCGACGCCGAAGGGAGTGTCTCCGCGAAAATCTCGGAGCTCCTCTTTTGGACGTCTGACTTCATCCCCCCAAATGAGCAATCTCGTTCCAAACTCGAGTCCATGTTGCATGCATAACAAATCACTCCAAATGTTTCATGCATGTCCAAGATCGCACGACACCGTGTCTTTTTCTTGGTGCCTTCCCCACAGCTTCGGCCGGCCACACTGCACGTGCGATGGCGCCTGCTTCGGGAGAAAGTACTCCGGATGGGCCGCCGGGCCCCACCATGGATGGTGCCCTGGGCTCGGTTTCGTGGCGCTTCGGTGGACGACACGGTGCTCGGAGTCGAGGTGGTCGAGTAATTCGGTAGTGGTGAAGTTCAGGGACTGATGCGGGAGGGTCAGGATACCTTTTGGCCGAAGAAACACGACAGTTGATGGTTTGGTTCTTGTTTCATCTCTGGGGGCCAACATGTGATCTGAAACCGCGAGCCACAACTGATGAGCATGCCAACTGCAAAGTTGAGCGGATCAGGTGAATACTCAATGATACAGGCTTCACAACATGTGGAATCCATGTCCGGTATGCAATGGAACACATATGCTGGACATTCATTTGCAGGGAATCTTTGCTCTGGCTGGCCGGGTCCTTCGGTCTACCTGTCCTCAAGTGCTTCGGGCAACTCCGCTCCGAGAGTCAGTCTTCTTCCCAGAGAGTGGCGCCCCGGATGAGAAGTGACTTTGAAACAACCAAGTGGGTGAGCGCAAACCAAAACACGTGAGGTATCGTGAGGTTGTGCCCAACTAGAGACATGACATGCCCGACTACTGTTCCCCCCCCACCGCTGAAGCGAGCACCAACCTCTGGCAGTCTGGCAGTCCAGTCGTCCAGTCGCCTCGCCGTGAGAAAGCGAAAAAAGCGGGACAAAAGGAACTTAATTAGAATGGCCCACCCTAATAGCGATGGCCTCCACCTAGTAGCTTCTAGCTACTAGTGAGAGTTTCTTTGCAAACAGCTTATTCAGTGTCCATCTCATCTAAGCACGTCACTGCCCTTGTGGCTGACTGGAAGAACTCACCTGTGTTGTTGTTTCTTTTGCGCCAGGCGACTACAAGGCTTGACCCGGGAAGGTAACGGATTAGCTATTTGTACGGTGATGAGTCCTTCTGATGTCGAACATTGAAGGAGACCATGGTGAGTTTGTGACAGCTCACAGTACTGTCAATTGACACAGTCGTGCACTACCGATCGTGTATTGCAAGTTGTGCTCCACATGGCTTAACTCTACCCCTGAGTTCTTGAATCCTAATGGAACACAAAAGGATTCCTGTCTATCCCAGGCAATATGGAACATTGGATTCTGTCCAACAGGGTGGGTAACGAGAGGCGGTTGCTCAGGCACTTCATGTCAAGTGATATTTGCACATTCATTGTTCAACAACGGATGTCCGACAAATCTTCCATGCCGAAACCCTCCTTTCAGACGTGAAAAAAACGAAATCCTCAAGTCAATTATATATTGGTGTGTTTCTTTGAAAGGGTGCTGGAGGGGCACTTAGCCTTTTGAGCAAGCTTCTGGTTTTGATACAAACCCATGCCAACAAATGAATTCCCAAGTTCCCCTGTCACCACCAGGACCAAAAAAACGGCCCCCCGAACAGGGGGAGATAGAACAGCGTCACTCGGGTACTGGGGAAGAGACCGATCAGTGTGTCACAGTGTGTCCCTCTTTGGTTGCTTGAGGCATCAAATCCTTGATCAGCGTTGTTCAAAGTGCTTTAAAGTCCAACTGCTTGATAGAAGCCTTACCAATCCGTATGAAGTAGTATCAAATCCGGTGAAGGACCTTTTTGCCGCGGTGGAGTCCTTTTTCGTGGGCGACGCCCTGGCGCAGCAGCCGCGGGTGGTGGTCGATCTGGACTTGGACGCGAAGGCCCTGGAGAGGTATATATGTTTGTGTTCGTTGATAGTAAGCTTCAAATTTGGGTCGAGCCCGGGATTCAACCATGGTGCGAGAGGTCTTATCCAACAACCACTTGGGAATCGTGTTTGTTTAAATGTTTTTAATGTTGGTGAATGTTTCTTTTGAGATGTTTTTGTGTTTGGTAATGTCTTCGAGGATTGTTGCTTTTCTGAGACTGTCGGTTGGATCTAGAATCTAGGTGTTTGAGGATTGTTGCAGCGGCAAAACGTGTCTTGGATTGTGTTTTTTGATCATTGTGGTGGTCAATCATCGTGGGAAAGTTGGGGAAGGAAAGGAAACGAGGTTGCCAAACCGTGAGAACACGATGAACAACATGTGGAGGAGAAGTTGGGAATGGGCAGAATGGGGGAGCTTGCTAGAGCTTGAGGGCTTTGTACGTCTTTAGGATACGATATTTTATTTCATCCCAATGTTGTCGGACCGCTGAATTTTTGCATATGCTGCAGGATTATTCTCCCTGCAGACGACAGATAGGGTTTGAGAATCTTGTCATTTATACAATGGTGCATCAGGTTCCATGGTAGTTTTGGTTGGGACATTTGTAGTTGCACCTGTTGGTGGTGTTTGGTTGCAAACAACACCAGGACGAGCATAAAACAGCTTGGTTGGTCAGCTGCGGTACTTGTCCTGCCACATCGAGGGATGAGCGCTGGAGCAAAGGGAAGCCATGGGAGGCAAACATTTCCTGGAAGAATTGGGATCTTCAAACCACAGTCCCAACATTTCCAAAGTCCCAACCCCATGAGACTCATTTGGAGCTCACTGGGTTTAGGGTCTTGCTCCACGGCACATCGCGGCAAGGCTGAGCGATTGACCAAGATCTTTGAGATGGTGAAGGAGCATAGGATCAAATACGATCTGTGAGATTGGATGAAGACATACGAATTATCAACCCACAGGTTTTGCCAATTTTTTGCTACCAATTGGTTTGCGGTGTACAGCTGCGGCTGTACTGTTAAGGCAAAGACGCATAGACCGAGACCTTCGGAATATACAAGTAGAGGCGAGCTGGACGTACATTCTCCGAGCGGGCAAGCCACGGGGTCTCAATACCAAGCCTCAGACTTCCACTGGTTATCATCATCATCATCATCATCATCATCATCATCATCATCATCATCATCATCATCCACTGGGGCTTGACGAAACCGAGTGAGTTACTTCAGTTTCGTGTGGGGACTTGAGTGGATGACCTCTTCGTCGCATTCGGTCGATGGATGCAGGAGCTTCCTCGTGGGAAGATGCTCAAAGAGTTCCCCTTGACCATGGTGGGCATTAGCAGTCACGAGGCCGACGAAAGGGGCCGGTGGCATTTTTGGTGCATCATGGTGCATGGTGGGCAGCTACGTCGCTCCGTATGGATTTTCTATGATTTTATGGCTTTTATTCAGGGGGAGGCCTCCGAAATATTCTGAAATGTCATATTTTGCTTAAAGCCGCCTTGGAAGTCACTTTTTGTGGCAAGGGCAGCACATCTGACGTGTGTTGGAGGTCTTACTTAAGTCAACTTGCTTCGTGGCAGACGCAGGGATTCGGATTTCTGAGTTCTCAATTCTTTGAGCAGGGAATGGGGGAGGTCTCGCACGAAAGCTGCGTCCTATCTTTAAATTTAAGATTTGCTGTTGTTGCGGCAGGCGCATTTGCTGGATCTTTGAAGTGCACTCAGGTGTGTGCTCACACATGTCTGCTCTCTCGTGTGTATGTGGTGCACCCATGTGTGTCTGTGTGCGTGTGCTGTCATGTGTGTCTCATATGTATGCTGTATGCTCTCATTGTGTGATGTTTTTTGGTGTGCGTATGTTTGCAATTGTGCATGCTGTATCGTGCTTTCACATGCATGCCTTCTGTGTATGTGCTCTTGTATTCGTGCTCTTACTTGTAAGTGCATGCTCGCATATGTAAGCTTCATAAGTGTGCTTTCAGATGTGTGCTCGCACATCTGTGCTCATGGCAACTCTTTCTCCGAAGCTCGACGTTTCACCGGAAAACGGGCAACGGCAGCCGTTTCGGAACCGTCTCGTGTCCTGCTCAAATCGGCCGTGCGCTGGAGTGGGATTTCTTAGGTGTTTGGAGATCCCGTTAAAATTTGCCCTACAAAATGGGAGGTCTTGGGACCTCTATAAGACCTCCATTACAAAATGCAGTGGCCAAGATCACACTAATTTTTGCAGGGATGTTAGGAGGATACGCAATTCTTCGTGCATACGGGCTCTCTCTCTCTCAAAACCTATATGTTTTGAGCCCCCCCCAAACTAGTAGCGTCACATCTGAAAGCTTCAACGAGCCTTCTCACGAGACGTCCCCAAATTTTGACCTCTTAGCTTCAACCTGAGCATTTGGTTTGTCAAACTTGCATATCTCCAAGCTTTCAAATGAGCATATTGTACGAGATCTCCTCAACATCTGAAAGCTTCAAGTTGAGCATTTTGTCCGAGAGACCTTCCGTGCAAAGTGTATCTCCGGAGCTCGACGTTTAAGCGTCGCGGAACGCAGCAGTTTCGATACAGTCTCTCCTGCTCGGTTCTTTCTGGCATCGGCCGCGCGCTGAGTGGGATGTTGTGTTCGTGGTGGTTGTCTTCAACTTTCATATTTGGAGGAAGTCTCGTACGAAATGCACATTTTGAAGCTTTGAGGTGTCCAAATTTGAGGGAGCGTCGGGCGAAATGCTCGGGTTGAAGCCTTGACATGGGGGATGTTGAAGCTTTTTGGATATCCAGTCTCAGAAAGACGATTTCTCTCATGTTGAAGCTTTAGTATTTTGCCGTTGCCTTGTGATATCGCTTAGGTTCTCTCGCCGCTAAAATTCTTCCTCCCAGATCTTCCTCATCTCTGCTCTCGTATGCGTGCTCTCAAATGCGTGCTTTTACACATGCGTAATTGTATTTTTAATACTTTTTAGTGTTCTCGCGTGTGTGCTTTGTGCGTGTGTGCATGCTGTCTTATGCTCATACGGGTGCTCTTACATGTGCCTCTCATACATGCGCTATCATATGCGCCCTCTCACGCAAGTGCTCCTTGGTGTGTGCTCTCACATGTGTGGCACATTTTTGCTCATGTGCATGTGTGTTTGTGCGGTCTCACGTGTGTGCTCTCATGTGCGTGCTCTCGATCATGTTTGTGCTCGCGTGTATGTGCTCTGACGCCTGGGCTCGCGCATGTGTGCTTGTGGTGTGTGCCACTATGTTTGCGCTCTGATATGTGCGTGATCTCATATGTGTGCTCTCAAATGCGAGCTCTCATGTGTGCTCTCATATGCGTAGCTCATGTGTGTGGTCTCGCATGTGTGCCTCATGCCTTGCTCTTATATATGTGTTTTAACATGCATTCTGACATGTGTATATGTGCGCCCTGACATATGTGCTATGCAAGTACAACCCAGCAACGCGCCTTAAGCAACTACTGTACAGGGTGTCTGTTTTGGGTCAATTGCTTGCAAAAATGAACTTGTCATCGATGAACTCGACCATGCCCATTTCATCAAAGCCCAAGTGAACTGCCCCCCAGGGGCACTTGAGTAAAGCAACATGAAGTAACCGTAACCGTCATAACTATAACCCTGATGCCAATGAACTAAAGCAATCTATTTGCAGGTTCATTTCCATGTAATTAACAGACTTTCCCAATCACAATCGCCTGACAGATGGGACATGCAGTTCATCAGATTCCATGGGACCCCCAAATTGCTACTTGAGCGCATCTTTGGTACCGTTGGATGGAGGCATGTTTGCTTGTTTGTTGGAGGGAGCGCGTGCCAGAAAGTGTGATACTCCGGTCCTTAGAATTTCGAAGGTCAAAATAGTTTTCCCTCCGAAAAAAACTTCCACTTGAATTTGGTGGTCTGTGAAGGACCGTGAAGGAATATATAAGTGCTTCTTCTCAGACGAGCCAAGGGCGGACGGAGCTCGCTCCAGCCAGCAACCAGTGGGCCGTTTGATCGCCAGGAGGCGTTGGTGACACCCAAGATCGCCCTTTGTGTGAAGCGAATCCCCCACAAGGCCGGCTTTTTTCCCACAAGGCGCGCTTTGTCGGAAGGAGCAGTGGACCCAAACATGTGTCCAAGGACTTGTGGTAGAGCACGTGTTGAGGGCGTTTCTTTTTCCCCACCTGTCAGGTGAGGGTTGTTAGATTGTATGTCAGCTGTCGCCGACCTCCTCCTCCTCCTCCTCCTCGTCCTCCGCGTCGTCTTCAACCGCGAGCCTCGGCTGGTAGTGTTCCCCACCGGACCTCAACTGCGAAGGCCGCGTGGCAGTGTTCCCTGCCGGACCTCAACCGCGAGCTGTGCCAGATCTCAACCAGCACACAACCACAAACACACTCACAAACATACAGCCACAAGCACACACCCACAAACACACAACCACAAGCACACAACCACAAACACAGCCGCAAACACAATCACAAACACACGATCACAAACACAACTACAGGACACGACCACAACACACATGCAAAACACACAACCACAGCGACTGTACATTTTTGAGCCGTTCAACCACAATGGCTGGGGCAAGCGGCAGGATGAGCAGAAGCGGGAGCAACACCAGACCATTGTCGGCCGAGATGCAGAACTCCAAGCGCAGCAGAGAATGGATTGTGTTTACAGGTGTCTTGGATGTGAGAGCCTGGTGACCAAAGGTGGCCAGGGGCAGAAGCTGATGAAGCATGCACGACCGAACCTGACGCCGTCATCATCAAGACGGTTGCTATAGCGGCTATGTTCAGTGCATCATCGCTGTTGCACTTGCCATCTAAGACCTTGAAAAGGACAAAGCTGGTTCTGATGCCGCAAGATCCACGTTCCATGCATGACAGATGGCACTGACAATCAAGCATCTTGCGGCAGCCATGGGCCATGACAACGTATGAAACACGGTCGCGGAACCTCAGGAAATCGATGAAGGTATCGCGGTGAGGCAAGACGTGCGCGATAATGCCCAGCCTCCTCCCGGTGACGAGGCTTCAGTGTGGCTCAAAGAGCAACCCGAGAACGTGAAGCCGCTTGCCTTGAAGTTTAAGTCGCGCAAACAAACATTTTCAAAGTTCACACTTTTGGGCATGCGCGAGCTGCACCGAGCAGCAAAGTCTGTTAAGTTGAGGGTGAACTTTGACATGCAAATTTTTGACACGAAAGATCCTTTTTCAATATGTGTCCATTTCGCAAGTTTCTTTCAATCCCGTGGTTGCTATATACGCAACGACTGATTCGAATTCAGTCTGTCAAGGGGTTTATTGAATTGTAAACATGCTCCTCACCATGGCGTGAGGACAACTGATTGAATTGTCATGGTGGGGATCACTTGAAGTAACATATTTTGCAGTCGGCGACCTAGAATAGGATAGTTCTTTGCATGTGTGGCTTGTGACTGCACCAAGAGCGCAGAGACTTGGTGAAAAGAACCGTGTTTGGGCAGGAAACTTAGGAAGGTTATTATATCGGCGTGCCACCTGCAAGCCGATCGAATGCTGATGAAGCCCCATGAGCCTCTTACCAGGCCCAAACCACAGAGGGAAGGAAAATGCCCCACTCCTGTGCAACGAATGGCACTTGTAAGGTCTTTTGGATGCACTAAACGACAACTTTTTGTAGGTCGCACTGCATGCCTCCAGGGCGCACCTGCTCCATTCATTTCCCGCCGTCGTGTGCCCGCAGGTTCTCTCGGGAGATCCCACAAAGCCTGCCTCGATCTTGGCAGCTTTGATGCTCGGAGCTGACCACGCAGTCCACCGGACTGTGTTTTTTATTCGATTTATGGAGGTTACGAGGTTTTCTAAAGCATGTACATTGTACACTCCATTACACTTTGGTTCCTGACAGAGACTGGCAGCATCTGGTAGCAAGGGTTGTGAGGGTTTAACAAGTGCCTCTGCCGAATTTCCGCACGCCTCATTTGTTGGGCGCCCTTTGAATGGGTGCCCAAACACCGGTGCCGAGTCGACGACTCTTTAACTCGTTTGTCCTCGTCCCGAGGAGGCACCGCAAAATCGATGTGAGCAAATGCATTTTCCTCCAGGCCAGGTGGGGAGCCCCCCATCGGGAGCAACCATGAAAGCAATGTGGTGAAAGATCTGATGTGAGGTGAAAGCACCTGTTTTATTTTTTTTCGGAACATGTCGGTGGCAGGTCATTTCTACGGAAGACAGGACCTGTAAACATGTGGCTGAAATAGGAACAACACGTTTGTGGTTTCTTCTTTGCTTCACGGTTACTCCGCACACAACTAATTATATACATGCTTTCAACGAGACCATGGTGGCCATGGTGGCTGGCGACGATGTACCGCCGAACACGATGCACGGCCTAGGGTTTTTTCCCGTCCACTGTTTGGTTCCAAGTTGCGCCCCTGTGCTTGGCTCACCTTAGCCAAATAGTCGCTTCTCTCTTCAGTTTACGTAAGTCATGCACTTCTCTTTTTCGTTGACTACTTTTCTGTTGGAACCACTGGTTGCTGTGTTGTTCGCTCTTCCTAACCTTGTGGTGACCATACTGGCAACGTTGTCGACGGTCAGCCTCTCAAGACTCTCTCTTTTTTTGGGATCAGCGGCCGACCGAGCGACCGCTCCAGGTGCGTCCGCGGCCCGCTGCCGAGACCGGCGACCGGCTGAGCGCGCCGACCGAGCTCTTTGCGCGGCAAGCGTTGGCGGAGGAGAAGGCGAGCCGCGGGACGTGGCGAGCCGCGGGACGTGGCGACGTGGCGACGCCAGTGGGACACTGTATGACATACTAGCCTCACGAGCTGTATGACATACGCCGCCTGGAAGATGACGCCTCAAGATGAAAGGAATCAGATGATCACTTTTGTGGTTTGTGATAGGCAACAAGGCATCTCTTTAGGAATCAGGTTTGGACAACAGATTTCAATCTGCGTTGATGTGAATGGACCCTTACGCTCATATCATGTGGCATGCCGTCATGCGTTGTGTGGCATACGGCATCATCATACCATATGCCTCGACGGGATATATCACAGTATATATATATACACATCAGACGAGATCATGGACCTTCCCCTGATGAATGTGAAGAGATGTATGGGGACAGGGATCACTGGAAGCGAAGTAATTCCCATGCTGATTGAGTTCCCACGGTAGCTGCTTAGCTTATATATGACTTCCGAAACAAGTCACAACCACAAACTGGAGTCTTCTTTTAAACGGTTTTGTTGTGATTTTGGTATTGTTTGAAGATATGGTGTGAACACGCGGTTATGTTTTTTTGTTCTGATTCTGTGATGATGTTGCTGTGGATATCATACCAAACTCACAAACAAATCATCATAAAAAACACACATAACCATTGCACATATTGTATGCCTTTCCTATGGTTTTGGTATGGTCTAGTCGCCTGGACTCCTAAATGTTCCCTTGCCCCGCCCCTCAAACCTTAAAGCCTCGGGGCTCAAAAAGCCTTGGCCTTGGGGGCCTAACCCGGAAGGAGCCGAATTGGACACTTTTCTGGCCCCGAAAGGAGCCGCAACAGAGCCAGAACAAAACCACATTTGCTTGGTTTATGCAGCGAAAGTTAACAAAAGCAGATCTTTTTTGATGCGTTGGGAGTAGCTTTTCAATGACTTCTAACAGTTGCTCTCCTTTGCCCTCAGTTACCCTCAGCGACGGCTGCCTTCGCGGCGCTCGTGGGCGGCATGGAGATCAGCGCGCAGCTGGCCGAGCGGGCCATCGGCCTGGTCCTGGTCGAGACGCAGCCGTACCCGGTCGAGAACGGTGCTTCCGTCGTGGACGAACGCCCGCGGCGCGGTCGTGGTCTTCGGAGCACGGTCAGCCGACGGGAACGGAGCACCGTGGTTTTGGGCGAAAGCAGTCTGGGCAGGTTTAAGAAGTCCAAAGCGAGACCGCCAGGACCGCGACAAGCAGGGTAAGCAGTGGACCGAGACGCGAGCATGGTGTGTGCCTCAACCTATCAGCATACCTGACCCCAAGACCATCTGCTGTTTTTGTCTTTTGATCCCCCAACGGTGAAGCCCACGGGTGTCTGGACTGACCACCAAATGCCATCCATGAGGGCAGGATGTTGCATACATCAGACAAAGCACGTGTTTCTTCAGTTCCACCCTTCCACAATTACCAAAGATTGGAAAACCATCAGCCAACCCCGAAATGACATCCACTGGCAGCCATTAGCAAAACCACACAGACAACACATCCCGCGAAACACCACGTGTGACCGTACGCACCGAGTTTCCCGATCTTAGGCTGCCGCCAGTGGCACATGCCATGGCAGCCGCAATGGTAGGGCTTTTTCCACCTGATGTGAAAAAAGCTCAACCCCAGGTCGCCCAGGACTGTGATGGGGGGCCCAGGTGTTAGGTGTTGGGGGTCCTCGCATCGCACTTTCTTTTTGTTTTGTGAGCATTCAATTTTTGGATTTTCTTTTTTGAAGGAGGCATCGCACCAGGTCACCAGGGCAACAAATTGAGCATCCAACCAATAAGTTTGGTATAGATCTTGAGCCTCATCAGGCACACAAACCAGATATCCACAATCCAGGCTTTGGTCCTGGTGGTTGTGTGCGTTGAATTGAACAGCACATTACTTCTTTTGCTGGGCAGCCGCTTCCGAATTCCCCTTGCTTACTCCCCGGGCGATTCGGTTTCACGTTTTGCCAGCTTTCTGGGCGGCACCAATCGATGATGGTCCGTCACTGCTGAGAAACCAACAACAACTGTATATATATATATAGACTCCCAAATAAATAGAAGTTCGTAGATCCCCACGTAGAAAATGTATTGGAAACCGTGCCACCTACTTGGGGCCACTATACTGTATGCGGAGGATGAGGAGGTTGTAGTTCAGTGCCATGGTACTACAGTGAGTGAAACGTGCAGACAGAGCTAAACCATGCTAAACCCTAAACCCTACAACCACTTACTCTCTGCTGGTTTGTAGAGAGTAGTCTGACTCGGGCGTTGTTCAGATCCCAAGTTCTTGTTCAGGAGACGGGCGAGGTGACCTTCACGCAGCTGCTGGTGTGGAAGGGATACAAGGTGAGACCGAGTCATGTGGATGGCGAGCGCGGCGGGGAACACACAGATGTGCACGGAGACGTGAGCACCGGAGAGTCAGCATTGTCTGAAATCGGCTGATTCGGAAGGTAAGACATGGACAAATCGGATCTTCCGTCCCATTGCTGTAGTTGGCCCACGTTTGGTTTTTACGGTACTTGGAAGGCTCTAGGACTCTAGGGGGCGCAATCCAACTACCAAGCCTCAGCCGGGCTACCAGTTCATCCCGTCTTCAATGGAGGGCACTGCAATGATAGTCACCGGGTTTGGAAAATCATCGCGTCTTGGCGTCTAAAGATCTCAAGATCCGTTACACCCTGAAGACCTCGAGACCCGGAACCTGAAGGATGCCAGTTCCATGTTCCATGCCACCCGGGTGTAGACTCTTGATTTTCCAGCACCCAATTGGATTGAAACACCTCTTCCAGCACCCAATTGACTTATTCATCAAGACTACATCAACCATCTCTGAATCCCACGGGATCAATCCCAAAAGGATCTGAACAGGGTTTCGAAGGATCCGGGCAGGCGTAGGCCTAGGCGGGCGTTTGAGAGGAGTGAAAGGTTTTCAGCCCCAAAAAGGGGCTTAGGAGGGACTACTCCACCTCACTTGTAGAAACCCATGTTTGGAAGAATTCAGCCAACATTGCCAGTTTTCTCTTGGATTGTGCGGCATTGGGTTTTCCCCACCGACGCACAGACGTCCGACGTCGGACCGACAGCCGACGGACGCGCGACCGGCCAGCGCCGACGTGACTGGTCGCTGGCCTTTGGAGGGCTTTTTCTCGGGCCATGTGACCGAAAAACACGGGGTCTCGCACCCCAAGTCCCCCCCTCCTCTCGATCGGACGCCACCAAGTCGAGGCGCGCTTCGCAGAGTCCACGGACCTGGCTGCCTTGGAACACTTGGAGGACGGACTCCGTCGCGTCCGTTGGATCCGGGATCTGAGCGGTTTCTATGCTGGTGAACGGGGTCCGAGACCCATTCTATGACCTGACGCGGTGTGACGATTTTCCTCGCGGTTTTCAGGTGCCATGTGAGGTCTCGGTCTTCCAGGGCGGAAGAAGGCACCCCTTTGCAAGGCCGCAGTGATTTTAGGCAAGATATAGCTTTCTCAGGAGGGCTCGGGCTCCATGAGATCTGTAAGGATCCATGAGACCTTTCGTAGGGCGGAGCCTCGGCTGTGCACGCGGAATTTGCTCGCCTGTGCACACGCTTGGATTTGCTCGGTTGTGCACGCGCTGCTCGGTTGTACACGCCGCTTTGCTCAGCTGAATGAATGAATGAAGGAAGGAAGGAAGGAAGGAAGGAATGAAGGAATAAAGATGAAGGAGTGAAGGAATGAAGCAAGTAGCAAAAAGAGATCATCATGTAGAAGAATGTCCAGAGGCACGTGATTAACACCCCCCACCCCCCCACCCCCATCCCAACCCAACATCAATCAAACGCAGAGCATCTGTGTTGCATGGTACTGTGGAAGCAATTAGCAAAAAGAGACCATCATGTAGAAGAATGTCCAGAGGGACGTTATTAAGGTGAGTTTGTGGTACCAGGCACAGTTTGAACTTGGTTGTAATCAATGTGTGTACAGGTGAGCGAATCCTGTGTGCGCGAGTTACTTTTATCAAAAAAGGCTGTGTGTACAGGTGAGTGAATTTTGTGTGCGCAGGTGAGGCGCCATCCCCTTTAGTAGCTATATACACGTGTGTAATATATTTTCAAACTACACCAGCATAGACCCAGATAGCTAGGCAGAATCCTACGACCTGTTTGACATGCGACTGGCTGGAACAAGAATGTACGCAGCCTGGCTGGAACAAGAATGTACGCAGCCTGCACAGCCAGCTTACGGGACCTCCCCGTCTTAAACGCGCGCTCAGCCAGCTCACAGCACCAGCACCCAGGACCACAACACCAGCACCAGCACCGACACCCTTTCGCAGCAAGAACCCCATAGCTATCCCTATTTGGGGAATAATAACGTATGACCGTGTGATCTTGCGCGTATAAGTTTATGCGCACAAAAGTATGCGCGCAAACAGCAAGGCCCGTAAGTGTCATTGGCCCAAGGCCAAGCAGTATCCAGCGCCACTATTGACTTTGTAGCATGCTTGAAGCAACGATCTGCAGGACGATAAGGCCGCATGACCTTGCGCGTATAAGGTTATGCGCACAAAAGTATGCGCACAAACGGCAAACCCCGTAGGCTTCACTCATCCAAGGCCAAGCAGCATCCAGCACGACTATTGTGTGTGTAGCATGCTGAAACATGCTGGAACAATGGTCGGTTGAGAGCCTGACGTTGCGCATAGAACACTATACGTAGCAAAGCATGCGCGCAAACAGTACAGCCCTTGACACAGCTGCTGACGAGTGTAAATACCTCACAGCGCTAACAGACAAACAACGCTCAAGCGACAACACCGTATGATGTTGCGTGCATAAGTTCATGCGGCCCATGATTGCTGGCACGTCATTGTCAGAAGCGGCGCTTGGTCGCCCTTCACTGCTGCAAGCGGCGGTTTGTTACCCTTCACTGTCAGAAGCGGCGGTTGTTATCACTTCACTGTCAGAAGCGGGCACCAACACCGGCGCCCGGCACCAGCACCAGCAACCTGTCTCCACCGCGTGCACAGCCAGCTCACAGCACCAGCACCGGCTCACAGCACCACTACCAGCATCGGCGCCCGGCACCGGGCACCAGCGCCAGCAACCTGTCTCCACCACGTGCACAGCCAGCTCACAGCACCAGCACCGGCACCCGGCACCAGCACCAGCACCAGCAACCTGCCTCCACATACCCTCAACTACTTGGTGGGACCCTCGATGGTTGCTTTGTAGACCCCCAAACGTGGGGTCTATCATCTTATTCACCAGGCCTTGCGGCCGATCGTGCTTAAGTCCTAGACCCTCAGACCGGGGAATTCTAGAGGGGGTCTGAAATCATTTTCTCCCGCCAAGGGAAAACAATCTAGACCTTGTCATGTTACGTCATGTCGAGCTGATTAAAAAAGTTAATCATGAAATTCTGACTCCCGTTCAAAGGTCTACAATGATCAAGCGAAAAGGTCCACAATGGTAGTGGGACCCATCTTAGACCCCAACCAGTCTATCCCTCGAGGGTCTCCCATTCTAGACCCTACTAGCTGAGGGTATGCGTGCGCAGCCAGCTCACAGCACCAGCACCGGCACCCGGCACCAGCGCCAGCAACCTGTCTCCACCACGTGCGCAGCCAGCTCACAGCGCCAGCACCGGCACCCGGCACCAGCACCAGCAACCTGTCTCCACCACGTGCACAGCCAGCTCACAGCACCAGCACCAGCACCGGCGCCCAGCACCAGCAACCTGCCTCGAAAGCGGGCACGGGCAACTCACTGTTATTTGAAGTAAGAACCCCATAGCTTCGCTATCTGGGGAAAAAGATGATATAGGCGGTGCTTGACCTCCTATCAGTTCGTTCAAGACTTAGGGAGAGCTGAAGTCTTTCCAAGCTATCCGATGCTCGGGGCACTGCGCAATCTGGACACTGGTGGGTGAGGTGAGGCTAACGACATTCTCTCAATCTCGCTTTGGATAGAACTGGTTTCGCCTCGCATGTTTTTGAGCCATACTTGTTATGTTCGCGAGGAGGTGCCGCTGATTGGTGGTTGACCACCCGCGCATGATCCTATTTGTGTTTTATTCTGCGGCTTTGCGTTACTGGTTCAAAGTATCTCTTACTATCTCTTTGTTTGAAGCTGAGATCATGTGGACAAGTAAGAAAGACTTGGGATAGCGTCACCCACGGTTTTAGCTACCAACCTGTCCTACATAACACAAAAGGGGTGTGAGGCAGAGTTATTTGATAGAGGGACAAAACCTTTGAACGCCCCACAGGTGATTGTCAAAGCAAGTTTAATATCATTTTGTACGCTTGTAACGTAATGTAATGTACTGCAATGCAATGCAATGCAATGTAATGTAATGTAATGTAATGTATGTGTGTAATGTCATGTCATGTAAGGTAAGGTAGGGTAAGGTAAGTTAAGGTAAGGTAAGGTACGTATGTACGTATGTACGTATGTACATATGTATGTATGTATGTATGTTTGTATGTATGTATGTGTGTGTATGTATGTATCTTATATATGCTTTGTATGCATGCATGTATGTATGTAATGTAAGGTCATGTTTCGTCATGTCGTGTACTGTCATGTCATGTAATGTAAGAATGTTTGTATGTATGTATGTGTATGTACGTAATGTAGTGTAATGTTATGTTTTGTGATCTCATGGTAGGTATGTAGGTATGTAGGTATGCAGGTATGCAGGTATGCATGTATGTATGTATGTGTGTATGTATGTATGTATGTATGTATGTATGTATTAATTTAATGTATGTTATGTATGTAGTGAATGTAATGTGTGATGTAGTGTGGTGTAGTGTAGTGACATGTAATGTAATGTAGTGTAATGGTAAGGCAGTTACTTTCAGTACTCAATCAAATATGTTTACACACATATACACACATACATACATACATACATAGATACATACATGGCACGTGGGAATCAAGGACGTTTTCATCCTCGCATGAAATGTTGTGTCGATGCACACAAGCATGCCTGGGCAAGCTGCAGGTTTGTAAGGCATTCAAAGCAGATCCGCAATCTCCAGACCTTTTCTTCAATAGTCATTTATTTTTTGTTGACCATTTTTTCATTTCCTTAGACATGATTTTTTTGTTTTATTTTTAGACAATTTGTTCATTTTTTTCCGTTGACCTTGTCTCATTTTCTCTTTTGATATTGTTTTTTGCAAATCATCATCGCCCCACTGCAGTGCAACCCTTTCAGCCGCCGATGAGGAGCTGGCCTGGCGGAAACCCTTACGTGCGCCACGTGAAGGTTCCGACTGGTTTTTCAGGGCTTCCGTGTTGGGGTGAGCACCTCGAAGGTGACCCCAGGTAACCTGGCAGGTACCTGAGGTCGAATTTTTGAGGTGTGACCATCATCTACTTGGTCTTTGTGTTTGGGTCCCGGGTCTGAGGTAGATGTGGCAGGGTCCTTTTGTCATTTGGAATCAAACACTCCTTTTTTTGGTGGTTCGATGGTTTGAGGAAGGGCACCCTTTTGTGAAAGACTCCTCTGAAAAGAATCTTTTGCGCCGATTTACTGGGATCTTCGCCCTCCTTTGTCACCACGCTCGTGGGTGATCGAAAAAACTCGGCTGACATTGACCGCAAAACAGTATATATATATATATACTAGGCTGAAATGACAAAGGACTTGTGAAAACTACCTCCAAATTGCGGCGGCTAAGTCATGAAGGTTTAGCCTAACCCCCACAAGTGTTTATGTCATGAAGCAAAAGCTTGGAAAAACCTCAAAATCAGAGATGCCAGAGGTTGTCACCAAAGATCCTAAAAACAGTTGATTTTATATTGACAAGCATCATGACATACGACTTTGGTATCTAAACAATGAATAAACCATCGAGAGATAGGAATTTGAGAGCAAAAACGCACAAAGGCAGACTTAAAGCAAAAGATGATCCTATGACATGTGGACTTTCATTAGCTCTAGTCTTCCAGGAGCATGCCCCCCCCCCCCCCCCCCCCAAAAAAAAAAACAATATTAAAAACTCAGGACCAGGTCAACAAGGCCTATGTCATGAGTGTGTGCCAATGAAATTGCCATGTATAACATTTGTACATGACTTAGGACTTGCCCTGGGAAAGTTGTATGTCATTTCGACCCAATTGGCCTAAGTCATCTTACCCTAGTATACATAAACATAAATAGGATAATAGTATATATATATATATAGACATACACTTTTGCCTCATCGGTTTTTGAGGGCTGTTTGCTAGCATCTCCCTTCTTGGACATGGGTGTTTTCCCGTTTTCCTTCAAAACCGGACTGTAAAATGCAGACCCCGGAACGCTTCGACCACGCCTTTGGACATTGGATACCATCCCATATGCCCTTGGAAATTGAAGCACCATAGGTGAAGACGTGCGACTGACTGAACCCATTTGGGCGCCCGTCGTTCCTTCACCACCCGTCGGCCCGTTCCTTCGACCTCGCAGGCCTCCTGAAGCGACTCTCGACCTCGCCCACCACCAACTTCGCTTTTGCACCTCACAAAAATTCAGGACAAACATAGAATGACCAAAACTGTTGTGACTTTGAAATCACCTCTTTTTCACCCCGCAAAAAGCTTTGGGGCGGGCTGTCCGGCGCTTTTGGATGCTTTTGGTGGAGTTGATAGCTGGGCGGAGGCGCCCAGTGGCGTGTTTGGGTATCCAAAGTCAATAATCCCCTGATGTTTTAATTGTCGTTTTTTTTTGGTTGCGACATCTTCAAGTCTTAAAGATTCATGTTTAGGCCCTAGGCACTCATTGCCGCTCCCCACAGTGAGTCCATTGTGTTGCAGTGATTTCAGAGTAGATGCCACAGACCCCTGGGGGTCCAGAACCACCAAACTTGGGGTGCACAGACGTGCCATCGAACCTCTGAAGCCACTGTATATAAGTAGATGTACTCCACTGAGTCCCTCTAAGGAGGTGCAGGGTCAAGTGGTCGCCGTGCTCTACACACAGCGCATCGGCACGCCGCAGGATGCCGCTCGGTGAACCATTTCAGCTGTTTTTGGATTCTTTTTTTTTGGCTGCGGATGTTTATAGAGTCCGGAAAGATTCGATCAACCGGAAAGAATAAAGGACGGAAACCAGTCCGAACAGAAAACAGCGGGGGTTCATGATGCATCTTGAGGAGATGGTCAAGAGTATTTTTGTGAACGGTTTTGTGAACGGTTTCTGGTACTCATTAGTTAAGAGAAGGAATTGGAGCAATCATTTGCTGTAAAGACGGTGAGGTCAACGTTATTTTTTGTTCCATCTTGCACTGTTTGGTTGTTCCCTTGACTCCACCTAGCAGCACTTGCAGAAGAGGTGAAACCGGGCCGGGAAGAATTGAGGAGTTCGTTTGCAACATGAGGAGAGCTGCTAACAACACATGAGAGGATCCGATGGCTAGGGCGGTTGCTTGATCCAGCAGTCCAAATAGGTCAGTCAAAACTGTGTGAATTGACGAACGAACCCAAATGGATCATCCAACCACAACCAATTTGGTGCCAATTGGATGATGTAGCCGGACCTTCTTCCCGGCGCCTCGACCGGTCCGACCGGTCCGAGGTCTTCCGTCAGAAGTTCCAGGAAGTCTTCCTGGGGGCCGAGCCTCAGGGAAGAACCTTGCAACTCATTGCCATCAATGCCCACACTGACCACAGGCCGAGTGTGGTCTGAAGCAGCTCTTTTTCGCTGCTTTTGCTTTTGGCGGTGTGGAATGTGAAGAGAAGCCAAGTGGTCTGGCTGTGTTCACTTGAGAGGCCAGGTGGGGTTTAAAAGCTTGCAAAGCTTGGGCATCGGTTGAGCCTCGGTTGGTCACAGACTCGCGAGACTGACACAACAACCCATGACTCACGCAGGGGCCTTGGCACTGAGCTGCGGTCCTTTGCGCTGCATGTGGCACGTTTGGATCTGACTCTGGACACGGTTTGCGCTGTGACCTTGCCCCTGGGCGGAGGACATCGGTACCTGGCTTTTTGGGATCATGGATTGCCCACTGTTGGCGATTGGGATGAACCATCCACTTATATGGTTGAAAAACACATCCTCAAACGACGCAGTTTCGATTCCTCCATCATGCCCGCAAACGACGCGGGCATGCGGAGTGATCCTCCAGACACACTGGTGACCCATTGCTCGGCATTGGCAGGGAACTTGTCACATCAAAGACTCATTGGGACTTGGGGTTCCCGGGGGGGTGGTTCTGAGGGACTATCAGAATCAGCCGCCGCTTTCAAGGTCAACTCATGACTAGACTATATCACGAAAGGTAGCCCTTTAGGGGATACCTTGAGTTTGTCTTGCGAAGCAAGTGTTGGCGCGTCCGGGTCTAATAATTGATCATTCAATTCAACCCCCCGCCCCCTCGGAATTGATTTTTCAATACAGACTCCCCCCCCTCTAAATTCAATTCTCTCCTGGAGAACGTCTTCGTGAGCCTCTCATGATTTCAGGATAGTTGAAACCCTCTTGAACATTCAGAAAGAGTGCATATGAAATTCTAATCACGAAAGGTGTTCCCCGAGGGGATACATACCTAGAGTTTGCTTTGTGAAGCACGTCAATTCTCTCCTGGGGAACGTCTTCGTGAGCCTCTTATGGTTTCAGGATAGTTCAAATCCTATGATGCTCCGATTCAATGCTCACCGATGATCTGAGCCATGGGGCAAGTTTGTTTTCCTAAGAATCTTTTTGAACATTTCGAGAGCATATGTTTGAACATTTAGAGTGCATATGAACATATATTTACGAAAGGTCGCCTCCGAGGGGATAAATCACTATGTCGAACATTGCATTTTTGTTCCTGCCTCTCGCGTTCTCTTCTCTTCCCGCTGTCCTACCCTTCGTGTCTCCCTCCTCTCAAGTAGATGGTTTTGCAAACATCAGACAGGCTTCGAAAGGCCGTGACCGCTTCGAAGCCCTTTCGGAAAGACTCCAAACCATTCTTACAGTGGTGTGGCAAACATGGTCGCCGATACAAAGAGATGTTACTGTAGGGGTTTGGAATCGCTCAGGAAATCCACTTGTATAGTCTCTTCTCTTTACAGTCTTCAGGCATTTGGAAGGGAGAGCCCGGAGAACCTGAACCAGGAGGACCTGAACAGAAGACCCCTTTTATGTTGTTCATCGGGAGAACCACAAGCGTGCCCCATATCATTCTGGTCGCCGACATTGAGATATTTCCGAGCAAAACTGAAGATTTTATCGCAACTTCTCTTTTTTCTGCGTGCATGAAGCTCTTCATAAAGTATATAGCCCGACGTGAGGTGGCCACTGCCTGCTCAATCTCCTCATCAGGGCCCTCATCAGGCTGGCCCATCATCAGATCCCTCATCAGGCCTCTCATAGGCCCTCATACAGGGGCCACAGCAATCCTCCCAACCTTTGCCAGTTCTTCGAGATTTCCCCCGCAAACACCGGAGTCTTGTGGTCGGGGTCCTTCCGTGAACGAGGTGCCATGACTATGGCGCCAGCAGCGTGAAGAACTTGCAGCACTACGTGGCTGTGAAGAACTTCAGCACAGTCTGGCGAAGGTCCCCCCACAGTCGGTACACAGAAGTCACAGACGACCCTACAGATGGTGCCAGAAACTGCATGATGTTGGATGCTCGTGCAAAAAGTCAACATTGACTGCTTGGGGAGCTTGGGGAGTCAACCTCTCAGGAGGGGTGTTGTGAAGCAATTGTTGGTTCAAGGAGAACGGACTATCGGACGGGTAACAGGTGGATTCACCCTCCTTTTGGTCGCAGCGCTTTGCCTTTTGGGGCGATGTCAGCCACTTTTGGGGGGGAGCATGCGCCAGGAGACCATCTGATTAGGGTGTATTCTTTTGTAGACCTGGTGACAAACAAGCGGTTTCGTGTAACCCGAACTAGGAGGGTGCATACTGCATAGCTACGCGAGGATAACACTCTGCAATTCCACTGCGCTATATATATATATAGTATCATTGTCAAGGCTCTATTTTCCTTTCTTCCCTTTGTAACTGTGTGCGGGTAGGTCAGGATCAAAACGATCAAATGAAGCCCCTTTGTGTGTCAAAAAAAGGAGTTTTTGTCGCGTTGGTAGAACGTCCACCCACCCAGAAGTTGGTTGTTGGTCCCCATGGAAGCCTCGAAAGAAGAGTTGGAAGTAACATCACCTTCTGAAGATTGGGAAGGGAATGAAAGGGCGCTGCTACTTCATGGAAGTTCTCAAGTACGTTCTTCAGGCTTGTCAAAACCCTTGTTGGCCTGACAAGGGAAGGGATGACGCAGGGCTATGAGACCAGCATCAGGTGGTATGGCTTCGTCAACTAGTTCGCTCTGCGAAGGCCCTGGAGGGCAAGATGTGAGATGTGAAGGCCCTGGGGTGAGGTCGCTGGTGGTAGGGAATGCAAGGCACCACAGAGTGAACGGGACTTTAAGAGGATGTCGATGTCTTGTCAAGGAGGAGGACTTCTATGTCTCGTCAAGGTTGACAGACCTTTACACATGGTCATAGAGGCTCTCCCCGAGTTCGTGAAGTTCACGATGCTCGTGGTCTTTCAAGTGGGTCATGAAGTGAAAATTGGCCTGATGGGCATTGGAAGCTGAACACTGCGACGTGACGGTTCCGTGTGATTGAGCTTGGGGCGGCCTGCTACTTCCTTTGGCTGCCTTTGGAATGCATCACCACCACAACCATGAGGTGGTCCAGCACCTGTTTGGACAGCCTGTGGTAAGTGCGAGGGGCTTGAGCCTTGTTTTCTGTACATCCCACGCAATGACATTGGCATCCTGATGGAGCCAGGAAAGCGTGTGCAGGTAGGACATGATCAAATCGCTCAAGGATTCTACCGCTACCATGAAGCCCCTACAGGTGTCGTCGTGTGGCAACAATCGGAAGGAACTATTCCTGCGCAGGCCTTATGGAGGGCACCTTTGGGGTGTGTGCTTGAATGTACGTATTTTTGCCGCAGCGTTTACACATGTTTGGGCAGATGCGGTTGTTGTAGGCGTTACAACATCTTCTGACCTTGTGTTTTGCGCGCCCATGCTTGGGTGTTTGACCCAGGTTATGCCTTAAACCTTTGGCATTGCATATGCCATGCAGTTGCTATAAGGGCTCTACTACAAAGGTTTTGCAGTTAGTTGGCCTTCACTTCTAGGAGAAATGCCGTTGTGCTCTCACGGTTTATGTTTCGCACGTTTCCAGAAGATTTCTTTTTGACTTAATTCTCGCTGTAGATTTGTGTTCCTTGTCGACCGTCGTCGTCCAGACCAGCACAGCTAAAGCTGATGAAAACATCCTCTCACAAGCCACCCAACTGATGCTCGCTCTCCATGCCGCCCAGGTGGATATGCATGTGAACGGTCGCGTCAACGACCGCATTCTCACGCGCCCCGGTCTCACTTTGATTTGGGGACCAATTTAGAGGACCAACCTTGCAACTAATTGGTGTGTTTTAGGCTTGAATATGCTTTGATAGTTTCTCGAGATTAGGCCGGCCTCTTTTCCAATCAGCCAGTGGATGATGTTGTGGTGCGTCCAAAAAGCACATCCCACGCCTCTTCCTCCGGCCGCGTCATCCAAAGCACAAGTGCCCCGAGGTTCCACACCAGCTATGGGGCCAAGGTGCTAGGCTTAGTCCCCAATTTCCGCCCTGAGGACGGGTCAGAGAGGGTGCGGTGCGCGGAAGGGGGGGGCTCAAACGCTGCTGCCGAAGCCATGTTTTGCAGAACGTTGGATGGAGATTGGGACACCGATGTGCAAACCGAGTGGTTTTGCGATGTTTGTTTTCTTCCAGTTGGCGACTTAGCCACAGGCAGCTTCACTTGAGTGATCATGAACTCGAACCAACGAGAACCGAAGGCAGGTTTTTATTGGAAAAACCTGACCCCCTTCCTGCGGTAGCTTCCTTGCCCACCCCTTGCTATTCACTTGCTGCCGGGCCTACTCCGACTGTGTTTGTTCAATGTTGAATGGACAGATGAGTCCGTGCGGCTTTGCTTGTAGTCTTTCTTCCTAGATATAGCTTGTGTGCGGCAATGAGAAAGGAGCAGCCACCGTCTTTTGAAGGGGGTGGACATGTGTGCAGGGTTTGCTGTTGTTTGCTGTTGTTTGCTGTTGTTTGCTGTTGTTTGTTTGTTTGTTTGTTTGTTTGTTTGTTTGTTTGTTTGTT